GGCTGTTTTTTTGTTGCAGTTGTCATTGTTCTTCAGTTGGCCTGGGCTGGGTTCAAACCCGCCAGCCTGGGTGTTTGAGCTACCCACTGAGCTACGGGCACCGCCCTAAAACATGAACTTTTGAAGGACCACCTCCTTCCAGTCCTTTTGGGGGTTTTTGGCCACAATTTGGATGAAAAATTTAAGAAACAAAAGCTCTTGATGAGTAACCAACTTCTGTCATCCCGACTACAGGGGCTCAGCAGTGCATTCTGCAAGTAAAGACAAGGGGAAGGAGAGAAAGAAGGGTTTTTTTTAATTTGTATGGCTGAGCATTCAGTACTTTTTTTAACTAATGCAGTGCCATCAAATCTTTGTAATGCCCTGGAAATTAGGGCTTATGCACACCGGTTTTTGCTTTATCAGTTCACTTGAAGGGCGAGGCACAATTTTAATCCACACCTGTCAGATACCAAAGTCCTTAAGTGTTTCTGTGGCAAGGGCTCTGGAAGAGACTTACTACCCATGTTAACTGTGCTGATGGAAGAGGGCTGGCTTTAGCGTCCCTTAAAGTTCTTATTAAGTAAGTTGGCAAAAGATAACAAATGTTGGTGAAAGAACAGAGAAAAGGGAACTCTTGCACACTGTTGGTGGGTATGTAAATAGTATAGCTATTATGGAAAATAGTATGAGGTTCCTTAAAAAGAACTTAAAAATACAGCTACTATATGATCCAGAAATCCCACTTCTGGGTCTGTACCCAAAGAGAGTGAAATCAGTATCTCGAGGAGACAGCCTCATTTCCACATTCATCACAGCAGTATTCACAATGTCCAAGATGTGGAAACAGCCTATGTCTGCTGATGGGTGAATGGATAAAGAAATTGTGAGACATATATAAAATGGAATTTTATTCCACCATATAAAAGAAAGAAAGCCTTGCACTTGTGACATTCTGGATAAACCTGAGAACATTATGCTAAGCAAGATAAGCCAGACATAGAAAGACCAGGACTGTGTGATGATGCATTTATGTGTGAAATTTGTAAAGGCCTGGAAGCGGGGGATCCAGGGTACAGCATGAGGAGTGATGGGATGGGATGGTTATATAATGGGATGTGTATCGTTACCAATGCATATGTTTATCAAATCACATTGTATATATTCAGTCTTTGTCAAATATTTCAAAAAGGAAATGGGTCAAAAAGGAAATGAGACTGAATGGGTCAGTTTTGGTCAAAAGTTGAATAGTTCAGGTAGGATGCTGCAGACTCACTCTGAGGAACCACGCATTTGATTTGAGGGAGGCAGCGAAGCAGAATGGTTGATCATTTGTGGTTTTCCACGAGGGATTTCTGGGTTTGAGAATCCTGCTTTACTCCTCACTAGCCGTGGGATCTTGGGCAAATTATTTCACCTCTTCATGCCTCAGTTTCTTCATCAGTAAAATGGGAACAGTAATAACTCTTTGGTGGTTCATTTTCCTCTCAGGGGCGTGAGTTAGAAAAAAAGTACAAACTTGAAGAATGGTTCTGTGTTGCTCCAGTAAATCCAGTTCTCTGCTGTGAGCACCAGCCTGTTGGTGCCGCTTCTAGGCGTGGGGCCCACCTAGGATGCTTCCTGGCAGGACCCTGAAGGAGGCTTGCTGTGGGATGGGACATCCTTGGGAAGAGAGCACAGGTGTTCTGAATGAGCTGAGGGTTGCTCTTCCAGATTACTCAGAAGCGGCTGTGCTTGTGGGTGTGGTGTCATCACAGAGTGCTGCTCACTCTCTGTGAGTCACAGAGGTTCTTGCTGCTTTTGTGTGGAGCTCATGCTTATCAGAGCAGCACTGGGCTCAGCTGACCACTCCCGCCTTCCTGAAATTCTCTTGCTGGCCTCCGTTATGCTTCTCCAGCTTGTTACTGCTCAGAGCTCACTGTTCTCTCGTCTCCCCTGCTGGACACCACCACCCCCCTTTCTTCTTCTGGCCTTTGGAGCACCCAGGGCTTAGTGCTCTGACCTCTCCCCCTCTCAGCTTCTAGGCAGTGATACCCTGTGTGTCGATGACTTCTCACACACACTCCCCGCCTCATTTTACACCCCCCTTCTTTACTTCTTCCCTTGGTTGTCTGATGGACACCTCAAATGGTCTGTTTTCTGATGAACCCTCCCTTGTTGATCTCTGCAGTGACCAGACGTAGCTGGCTGCTCAGGCCCCACAGCTCTGGTCATCCTCGATTCCTCTCACACCTCCTATTCTGCCTGTTGGCCTCTGTCCAAACCCATGCACTCCTAATCCCAGTCCTCACACCTACATGAAGGTTTGGGACTTCTGTAATCGCTTCCTAAAACCTCATTCTGCCTCCATTCACGTATCCTCCAGTCACAGCCGTGGTTTCTCCTTTATTGGCTTTGTATCCTCTGCAGTGGCTTCTCTAGAAACAGTATAGCATCCAACTCTTAGCCCTGGACTCTGAGGCTCTTGCAACCTATCTTACCCCCCGTCCCCCCCCCACCCCCGCTGGCCACACTGGCCTCCTGCTGCCCCTTGGCACGTCACTGCCTGCCTGGCTGCTGCTCTCACCTCCCTCCCTTCCATCCTCTAGGGCCATGCTCCTGCACCTTACTCAGTTCTCACTCGAATGTTGCCTACTTGGGGCCGGCATCCCATCTCACCTGTCTGAAATACCTCCGCCACTTTGTCCTCTTAACCTGCTTCCTAGCTCCACCTTTGTTTACTGTTTCTATCCAGGAGGTTGTAAGCCCCCTGAGAACTTACTGTTCTGTTGCTCAGTAAGAGTTTGTTGAACAGCTGAAGGAAGGAGTGAATTAATGCTCTATGGGACCCCTGTGCTAAAAGCTGAAGAACCAGATACCTTTCTAGATGCTTCCATACCTCTCCACTTCTCTTATCCCATTTCTCTGGCTCCCTTTCACGTGAAACTTCTAAAATGTTATCTCCATGTACTATAGCCTCTTCATTTCTTGTTTACTTTTCAGTATGTTATAATCTGTCCTGTCCAGTGTTTCCTGTGCACTTTTGAAATTGACTTGGTCAAAGTCATCCAAAATCTAT